ATAGATCGCAAGAATACCTGTCTACCAAAGTAAAGATACAATTAACTCTAAATTCGTCTGTTTATACGTAGTTGGCGAAGAAGGGGATGAGAGATTGGGCGAGGGTGTAGCTGAAAACTAGTTTCGGCCCAACGACGATAATCTATAGATGATAAATGTAAGTATCTCGGCATGATCGGCAAAAGAATTACAAACTTTTGGTGTGAGGCCCTTGAAGAATGCTGTTGGACCTTCGTTCTTCATTAAGTCTCTCACGACAGTCAAGCCGCCCTCCTGGAAGATCGAAAGAAGATTAGATCTATTGACCACTTGGCGCAGGACTCGCATTACCTTTGACTCGAAATTTGCGTTCTGGATGCGGGTCTTGACGACATCGAGTGGGGCGGCAACAGTGATACTAGCTATTGCACCTGCGACAGATGCGATGAAATTTTGCGTCCACGTAGCCTTGGAGTAATCCTCGATATGCAAGATCGAGGATTTAGTGAATGATGAAGCACCGAATAGCTGTCATGCGTGATATTTTAGTTACGCCTTAGACTAGGATAGGGAACCAAATGCATACCGCGAAGCTTCCAGGCGCGTTTCGGGCCATTGTCCATCCCCAACCGCGGTACAGCGCAAAACCCTCATCGGCAACAATCTTCAGGACACCTCGACCTCGGAACGCCTCGGGGTTGACTTGTCGCTTGATCTTGAGGACGTCCATGGGCAACAGGACAACCTCACCGATACCAGTTAGACTAAACAAGGGTATCGTGAGTGTGGAAACAGGCCCAGCATGAACGATTTGGCCTCACCTGCCCGCGCAGGCATGCATCAACATCTTTCCGTTCTTCTCCCCAAACGCTGAAGTAAAGTTTTCCTTGTAGTGCGAGGAAATGAGATCGTTGAAGTATGGTTGGCCGCCGAATTTGTATATCCGTTGTGAGATCTGGACAAAGCCGAATGAGCTCGATAACATGACAGAGTCTTGGGACATACCTTGTACCCAGCCGCATATCCCAGACCCGGAAACAAGCTAAGCATCTTCCCCGCCAGAGGAGCGTTTGCATATTCGCGGAAGATGATGGGCGAGAGTGTCGAAAAATTGACCTAGGAACAGAAATGAACACACATTCAACCAAAGACGTGATTCAAGTTACATACTTTGGCCTTGTTGCTCATTAACCTCTTCGCAATCGTGTCCACCGGGTGAAAAACCAATAATTCCGCAACCCCTACAGCCTCTAATCAGACAAGCAGGTCGTGTGACTGGAATGAAACTCGCCTGACGCCCCAGACCCAAGCACGCGCGCTGTACCAGACTCTTTACGCTTGCCAGAGGATGGGACGGGAGACATGGCGGCGGGTAGGAGGATGTGGTATGAGTCGAGGAGGCTAAGAAGAAAAGTCTAAGCTAGATCCAATCTCCGATGCGACCGATCAGGATGCGGCCAAACATTCAGCCGAGCCCACGTGACCTTCCCGCCTGACAAATTTGCTATCTTCAAGATCTTCAAGCCAAAAGTAAGCAACCTTTATCTCAAACTTATGCGAAATGTAGCCAAGTCTGAGTGAACTTGCATAATAGATATTTGAATCTAGCAAGAGAGAAAACGTAGCTCGGGGCTCGCGCTGCGTACACCAGTACAATCGAAAGCTGCCAAACTCGCTCCTCTCATGTGATACGCACTTCGAATGCTTTATATGAAAGTCTATTCGTCCTTGGCCTTCTAAGTATGGCGGCTGAGGACCAAGGATAGAGTGGATGCTGAGAGGTGGCGTGGTGGGTCAAGCCCAAACAAACAGACGCCATCCCCCTGAGTGAGTAGATGTATTAGTTCGTCCCATATGTGCAGTAACGGGTTTATATAGCCCCAGAATTCTCCCACCCAACGATTCTCTACTTTGTTCTCAATCCTATCCCCAATCCCAGGCTAACCTTTCCAGTTGCTTTGAGCTCATCCATCTTTCGTTGCCACCACACTTCTCTCTCTAGTACGATATATGCTGTTATTAGTATCAAAACCCTCCATGGCACGTTCACTCGGCTCTCCGAGGACATCAATCATGCTATTATAGCTTGTTCTTGGCAGTTACTTGTACGAGGCAAAGCAAGAAGCGACCATGAGCCCCGTCTTGCAATTCCGGGCTAGTCACCAAACTACCGCCGACGCTAATCGGACATTCTAGTTGGAATTCTCGATATCTGTACTCAGAGCGCGGGGTCGTTCGATTTACTTGCGCTGTTCTGAAAGGGCATTCTCTCTGGCGGTCTGTTCTTTCCTGGCACGTTCGAAACGCTCATGTTGACCGTTCGAGTTCCTCAAAGCCAATCGTAACCTCGTGCTTGATAATACTTTCTAATTCTTCTCGTTCAGCCTGCCCAAATTGAGCAGTTTTGATACGAGAGCAGGCTTAAGGGACCAAATGTTTGGGATATTCTGCCACCTTATCAAAAATGCGTCGGAAACGAGTACGGAGATATCGCGGAATGCAGGTAGCAGCATCAGAACTTGAGGGATATGTCAGCAAACTCTAAGCAGAGGAACCATCTTGCAAGAGGGATAGACTTACTCACCGATTCAAGTTTAAAAGCATTGTGAGATCGTGTATGCGCTCCCGGGCATACTCACGGTCACTATCCGCGTCGGAAGCCTCCTGTTGCTCAACTCTGAACAAAAACGAGTACGGGTTCGCATAGGGTCCGACTAAACGCGTATCGGCTCGACTGTATTTTTCTTGAGAATGGCTTGATTGTTTACGAGGCGGCGCGGAAGATGCTTGTCAACCGACTTGAGCATACTAAGTACACGCTCATGTAACGACATGCAGCTTGTGTATGTAAGCCTTTCCCGCATCGCACGTGATCTCTATTTCACTTTCATTCAACCATCATTTAGTTATACCACAGCATGTCTGGCCATTTTTGTGATCACGACAAAGAAGTCTGCAAGAATCTGCGCATCATTGTTTTGTATCCGCAAGGTTTTGCAAGAGAAGCACGCAGCTTTACAAAACACCTTCGAGCCCGTTGGCGTAGTGAAGGTGAAAATGTGTGTCCGTTCTGAAATTTATAAATACAGCGCTGGCTAATACTGAAAATTCAACTAGCAGGAAGTTTTGCTACTCCTGGTGGAGCTCAGTAAGAAGCCGGCAGAGATAATTGAAACCCAGGAGAATTCAGTGGCCAAGTGGTGAGCAATGTACTCGGTCGAGCGTGGATGCGGTTAATTCTCGCGAATAGGAGTGCACATAGAAAATGTGCCGTACTAACAGGGATATTTGTCCCACCCAGTTCTGACATGGAGCACTTGTTTTCTGTTCCTGGAGGGGAATCCTATAACAACGTCCTCACGGTAATTTTGATTATATTTGCTCTTGAGTACACATACTAATTAGATGTCCTAGTTCCTGCAAGCTTATGTATCGCCTGCGATATTATGCAATATTGAAACGTCAACGGGCTGGCATGTTGTACTTGCCTGTAACGTGTTCGATTACTTCACTAGATGCTCAAAGATGACACTGATCTCAACTACGGTTCGGACCTCACGGTGAGTAGGCCATACACGCACTTTGACAGTTATTGACATGTACTAGCATAAAAAGCCTACTAATTCTCTTTCGAACTGAGGAGGGCTGGTCGTATAGCTGGCCAACTCTGATAATGAGCGGTGCTCTTGTCCCATTGTTTGGCTCAGGAAACAGCGTGCACGAAACATTTGTGCAGAGCTGGATTAATGCACCAGGTGCATTCAAGAAGTTCAACCTGGCAGTGATCACAGCAACTGACGGTGCGACTTCCTACTTGGCCGCACCCTTTCTTGAGCGCCCTTTTGCCAAGGTGTTATCCCCAGTGTCCAGTCATCAGAAGGAACACCCCTGTAATATGCCATTCGGGGAAGGCGAGAAGGTCACACCACGCTACCGCAAAGCGCGGTGGGTTCTTGCACAGGAGGATTTTCGCCTGACTGGGGGAACATGTGCTGAGTTCCGAGAGCGGCAAGAAACCCTAGAGATTGAAGAACCTACCGAGAGTTTAACTTCAATCTACGTTGGCTGCTCATGGTGCGGGCGTGGATGCGCCCTACGTCTGGAGTATGGAAGACTCCGTATTGTGTCTAATTGCCCATTTATATCTACTAATTGGCCTTAGCCTATTGTGTTAACATTCATTCATTTTCCGCTCTCGCGTTTTGATCTGATGTTTGGTTGGGCATGGCAGCCTTCACTAGGTCTCAACAAACAAATGTCACTCCTTCAGGTTCAGAGTCATGAGTGCTGCGCTCATAATAGTCGGGCACAACTCCCAGTCATCTGCATCAGAAGCTCCCCCCCCCCCCTCGTCACTCGGTCCAGATACAAACGTGAGCACATACTCGTGGATTGTGACAAAACACGTACCAAACTTGATTGTTCTTGAGAAAGGTTTGATGGTGTAGCTGTTGAGGCTTGAAGACAAAATGAGACAAAGCAAATAAACGCTAAGAAGTTATTCGTACCTGGGTGAAAAGCTAGGAGGTAGACCAGTACCATGCTCGACTGACGCAGATTTAGGTCCTACAGAGTTACGGTCGGCCGGACGTACTGCATTTCAGTAGCAATCACGCACCATTGGTTCGATCACCTGGGACACCCGTATGGACAGGTTAGCTGCCTTGGGGTGTGAAACTTTGGAGAGCTAGGAACACGGCGCTCGGAGCACATGACGGCCGAGGACGCAATTTCGTTGGCGACGGCTTCCACCTAAACCTTTCGAGCCAAAACACGCCACCTATTGGACTCCAGCATTTGACCAGCTCATCTGAGGGTTTCCTAGCAAAAACAAAACAAATTTTAGAAAGATTCAACTGCGCACCATGAATCCTAGTCGCAGAGTCTCGAGAGCTGAATACGAGGGCGAAGCCTTAGCAAAACAACAGAGGTGGTGGGTACTCTCGTAACTTGACGAGGGCGGATTGAGATTGTCTCTAGTAGCGCGATGTTCAGTGGGGATGGAGAGATTAAAAAAGGTTTACGTCGAACGGGAATCGAACCCGTGCCGCTTGCTTACTCAAGAAGATGGAAGGCAAGCATGATAACCACTTCACCATCGACGTCTAGAATTGAACCTGTGGGCTCATGTAATCGCTAATCTGTCCGACCTGATGGTTAGTAGTTCGACGAGTGCAACAAGATTATGTATACCGTGGTCTTTTTCGGTTTGGGTACCGCTGAAGGTGCACGAGAACCGGACGCTTTGCGTTCGGTGGGCATGGCGGTCGAGGATACAAGAGTGGCTGGAAGGCGGCGATCTTACCGATTGTGGTTAACCCAGCCAACCAAACAAAGCCCGCTTTCCTGAATGTAAGTCGGTCCCCTAGCATATAGTGATTGATTCCAGATCCGAGCGGATTAACACTCAATATGGTCTTGTAGAACGGACCTGCACCCAGCGGAACCATGCACGCAACTCAAATGGGAACAAACGGCGCACCGAGGACCTCATTCACATCCAAATAAAAACCCATTTGCAACTCCATTAAAACCAAACGCGAATTACACACCAATTCTAATTCGCCATCTCGCTAACGCACTCCCACACACCCTTCAAATTCTCTTTCCAGAGCGTCACTTTTCCATCTCCACAGCTCACAGCTAGAATATTCCCCGCAAGACTCCATGACACGCGCCAGACGACGTCGGGGAACTTGTTGTCCCCGGTCGTAGCGCCGGGGTTGGGGTTGAGGAAGGTTTGGGTCCAGGGGGCGTTAGGGGTGTTTTTGGACCAGATAATTACGGTGCGATCCTAAGAGAAGTGTCAGGATGTGGTACGAGGGGCTTGAGAAGGATACGTACTTGGGATGCAGTCGCAATGTATGAGCGAGGGAGGCCGATATTTGGAGCCCAAGCTACGTCACGGACCCAGTCTACGTGGCCCTTCAATATTTCTTCCTCCACCCACGTTTGGTTGTCTTCCCTGGAACGAGCGTCATGCTCATACTTCTTTGAGGGGCAAATGGTCACTCACCTGAAGCCCCAGATTTTGACCAAGTTATCACAGCCAGCGCTAGCAAATCTCTTTACAGAGCCAGCCGTCGGAGCTCCACCTTGGTTAGGAGCAGGAGCGCCAGGTGTCGGGGTAATCAGGGAGCCTGGGAGCGTAGCGGGTGCCCAGGACACCGCGTTACACCCAACGTTATGAGCGTTGAAGATATCCGCGCCCCACGTCCCATCGTCTAGAAACACTTGGTTCAGCGAACAGCGACATCAAGGTAACAGTCACGCACTTTTAAACGTCAGAACAGAGAGTTTCCCATCCGAAGAGGCACAGGCGACGATTGCACCAAGCTCGTGAGGAGCCCAAGAAACAGAGTTGACTGGATCCCAAGTTAGCTATCATCTTCACACATCGTGATATAAACTGACCAGACGCGGTATGCAAACTATGCTCCTTTATCCTACTCCAGTTCCCCGCCCCTCCAGCAGCTGCCCCAGGCGCAGCTCCATACGGCACCTGCCCATACCCCGTGTTGACCGTCGCAGCCGCCCCTGCTCCACCCTGCTGCTCCTTCCATATTAACACCTTCCCATCGTACGAACACGACGCCAGAATATGCCCATATTTTGGATGCGCCCACGCGACCTGCCACACGGGACCAGTGTGTCCTTTGAGCGTGACACCCGCGTTTTGTCGTTGCGGCTCGCCGTTGATCACGTCGAAGATTTTAATCGTTCGGTCAGAGGAGCAGGTGGCGAGGCGTTTTCCATAAAAGTCTAGTTGGGCATCGTGCTGTTTACAGTGAGCTAAAGAGAACGATAAACGCGAACCGAGCGACTCACAATCATATCATCATGTTGGGTCTCGATCGGAACAGAGTCCTGCCCTGCTGGCATCGCCTACAGTGGCAGCTAAGCATAATTCCATGATTTATTCCACTTGTATTCGTACCATTTTGAGCCTGAGACACTTAGAAGGAAATAACGAAGATGGTCGTGGCGGTTGAAGACGACGTGTCGCAGAAGATCGGCGCTAACGACAGCTGATGTCAGCAATCATATTGAAAATGTGCAATTTCAGACTTGATCCGGACGAAACACCATCGCCACACCACAAATATCTAATACAGTCGGTGCTGTCCTGCCAGTAAGTTAAAGCGGCTGGCCCATTCAATTTTCATTATTATTCTATCGTATTTCAGGACTATTGCGATGGGCCCAGGCCGCACTCTCAATACGCGTTGACCAAACCCCGCGAAACAGGGTGCGCGAACCAAAGCGAGGAACGCAGATTTACCTATCTTTAGCCGAACAGGAAAAGATCACCATTTTTCCCTATAGCGTTTACCTCAAGTATGATGCTGGTGCGGAACTTGGACAAGTTCGGGCAAGCAACGAATATGCACGCACCCGTTTTTCGGTACGGGCACTTCGAGGGCGATTTTGCGGAAACCCCAGTTCGTACTGGGACTTGTGTGCATCCTGGGCAATTTTGTTATTAACCCCGGTCGCGAGTCTGTCGGAGATCGGAGATCATCAAGACGACGGGGGGCCACTTGGAGTACCGAAAGAGGTGAGGGCGGAGAGGAGAGGGGGGGGGTGCGACGTGAACAGAGTGGAAGCCATCGCGGACGACAGGCGGCGTTATCGAAGGTAATTTTTCAGTCTTTGCTCGCCTGAAGGAGAAATAAACAGGTGGCCCAGCTCAGCGTTATAACGGTGGGACTCATGACCGGACTAGCTGCTCTGGCTCGAGTCCCGCTAGGTCTCAAAAGGCATATTCATCGCTCCGATCGTGTTTGATCCTGCTTTGGCACGGTGGCGAGGAACCGATCACGAAGGCGATGGGGCGATGTGGAAGACTTCATGTTTGAATGATATCGGGTCCGACGCGCCAGAAGGCTTAATCACCGGCACTATACCGAACGAAGGCAAAATAGAGCAACGGTGATAAGAAGATGGGCGAAAACTCCCAGCGACCCAGCCCCGCCAACTCTAGTTGCGACTATACACACGCTTCCCAGGACTATGCTGGGATTTTAAGACGGCGCACAGGATGCTAGAAAGGGCGAGCTTGAGTAGTCGCCAATCCGACCGAGACAATATGCGTGCCCAAACATTCGCCGATAGTGCCGCCCCGATCACGCGAAGTCCCTCAGGGTGTTCATCAACTTTGCTCGTGGGGGTTGGTCAAGAACCCCCCACTGACCCTGAGTGCCTGTGGGTCGAGAACTGGGTCAAGGGTCAAGGTGATCATTCTCTCGAGACCATTCGATTTTAGTCTGTCACCAAGGGGTATTTATACCCAGAGAACACTCTTCCTTCCGTTTCCTCAGTAATATCCCCCGCTCTTGAACCAACCAACCAACCAAGCACTCACTTATTATCATGTTCCACCACTTGTCCTTCGTCGTTCTTACTTTGTTCCTGCTCTTCGCCTCTCTTGTCCGTGCTCAAAGTTTCCCCACCTGTGCCCAGCGTAAGTAATCTCCCGGCCCTGGTCCTCATCTCGCCCTGATTGGAACTTTCCGTTGTCTAGCGTGCATTGGTGCCGCTTCCGGTGGTAGTTGTAGCATGACAGATAACACCTGCTTGTGCCAGAACGCCAGCTACTGCAACGCTACTAACACGTGCTTCCATAACTCGTATGTTTTATTACGCTCGAATTCTTCTCAACGACCGAGTTCTTACTTTTACATGTAGGTGCAGTTTGTCCGACTGGCAGTCCGCCTACAATCTTTCTGTCCAGATGTGTAACGCAGCCGTGAGTGGCGATCGTTTGGTTTGATCGGCTGAGGGATTTTTTTTTTTTTTTTTGCTGATGCGTTTATACTAGGGTGTCACCCAGAACAACATTATTAACCCCCCTCCTCCTCGTAAACGTGACTTCACCCCGGTCTACTTCGGGTATGTGGCCATGACCCGGTTCATCTCGCTCGACTGCTAACCTATTTTTGTTTCAGCCGCGCCTCTGCTTGAGTAGCTGAAGTATCGGGGAGGTGCTGACGTACTGGCATATGGTTTTCACTCCCCCAACTGCGCTCGTTTCGTTCTCGGATCTCCAGCCTTCTCCTTTTCGGTTCAAATTTGAGTTTGTTCAGTGTCTTTCGTTGCCCAAAAATCTTTTGCGACGCCTTCGTTTGTCGGTTGGGTTTGTGATGTAATAACACTCAGTATAAGTATCTCGGAGATATATGCATTATTTGTTCGTACCACAGGATGCATGTATCGCAAGGCTCGGAGTCCTTTGTGCGCATATATGGTGGGTTCTCTTGGGGCCTGAACAGTGCGTAATCCGCTAGATAAGATTTCATCTACGAAGTAATCCTCTTGCATGTATTGTATATTTTACTCTACTCTTGCTGTGGGAAGTCTATGCGGTGTGCCAGTCAGGGACGCTCCCAAGGCGCTCCGCAGGAGCGTTTCAACCCAAGCGCTTCTGACTCGCCCAGCGACCGAGTGGCGATAAGGCAACTCCAGGGTATATTACCCGTGGGCCACGCTCCTCCTGCCTCAACATGGACCGCCGGTTCGTCCCCAATGCCATTCTACATCACCGTTGCCTGAGCAGTCGCCCATTGCGTTCGCCCCTCCCGCTCTCCTGTCTTATCACTGTGACCTGACGCATCTAGTGCACCCCGAATGACCTTACATACCATCCGTGCCTAAACCGCGCAACCTGACCCGACGGTATGTTCAACTCTCCGCTCTATTTCTAATATCCTTGTATTTATATGAATAAGTTCGAGGTATGTATGGTCTTGTGTAGGGAAACGAATTAGGGGAACGCGTACACTCTCTGGGTACTAGGGTCATCTCCCTTCTCTAATGATCTTACAGGCCTCACCGAACTAAACGTGACAACTTAAATTTAATATGAAATGGATCTGCAGCACTAGTCACATGTCCATATATCAAGCTGTTGCGAGCTGCTTACGGCTGGCGTCAGCATGATCCCAATGGCACTTGTGTTGTTAATTCCAATCACGAGTCTGCCGGAGACCGGAGATCATTAAGGTGTAAAGATGGGGGCCACTCCAGTATTGAAAGCGATGCTACGTGAACAAAGTGGAAGCCATCGTGGACGACGGGCGGCGTTATCGAAGGTAATTTCTCAGTC